ATAACAAATCGTTCTCATGAAAATAACTGATTTTTTCATTAAAACAAAAAAATGTTGCATTTTATTAAATGGATTGTAACAATAAGTATAATTACAGCTTTTCTTCCACTATTTTTAACTCAGTTTGAAACTTCAAATGCGATATAATTTGGCTTGGACCATCTAAGCTGACTGACATCAACTTGCTATAATTTCTGTTTACATTACATCGTAATTCGATGACACTCTGGCTCAGACACCAGAATGTTTTGACGATTTTTAGCATTCGTTTAGGATTTTCAAACAACCTGGTCTCTTTTAAAATACTTTTAATTTGTTCTTACGTGGTTTTCCAGATGTAGTGACGACAACATTAAAGCTTAAAGAAGAAAATTCTAACATTTAAACCGACTAAACAATAACATAGTAAACTTGCATAATTAAACAGGAACTAAAAATGATAGGTTTTACTAAATCTTTTCCTGTGCAATTATTACTAGCATTGGAGACAAGGATAATAGTTTGTTTGAAAGAGAAAAGAACAGGCTTTGAAGTAAGCCTAAAAGCGTTTAACTAGAAATAGTATTTCGAAAGTTATAAAGCACAAAAGATGAATTGCGTTTATTTTGATACACCCTCTATATATATATATATATATATATATATATATATATATATATCCTATCACAAATCCTATTTCTATGTTTGCAACAGGTTACGCTGGATCCCCCCAAAAATTCCATTACACGTATTACCCAGAAACCAAAAGCTATGCGCTATACTGGGAGCAACCATCAACGAAAGATGATGGCCATCGTGTGAGGAAATATATACTAGAAGAATGGAATGAAGAAAAAAAGATGTGGGTGATACGTCATAATATTACCTCATTATCAGCTACTGTAAATAAGTTACAATCAACGACAAAATATAGAGTTTGCTCTGAGAATGAGATTGGATATAAAGAGACGTCTTGTTCAAAGCCTATAGAGCTGCGTAAGTCAATAATAAACTTATTTTTGTTTGTTGTTTCGTACGTGGGTTTCACTATGTAGGATTATGGTGGTCGTTTCTACCAAATAAAGACAGTTAACGAAGTGACTTGGTGGCAGATGTAAGTAAAGGTATTTAGCCTCATTTGCATGAAGTTGCCAACATGTGAAGCACCATGAAAAAAATTTCGGAGATCCACCATTATTTTTAGTGTTCATATGACAGCGAGTGCAAAAAAAGAAGATTAAGGATCCAACATTAATAGCGATATTTAGAAACATTAATTAGAGCAGTGGCGGAAGTTGGGGGGCAAAGCCTCCAAAATGTCCAACAAAACTTTCAAATTTCGGACATACTCCCCCCATTTGCATTCGAAAAGGCTGTTTTCAAACATCTTTTATGTCAAAATTTCGGAAAATTTGTCAATCTTCCATAAAGGTGGTAATTTTCCATAAAAAATCTTTATAATATCTTGATCAATTGTTTCAATGTCAACCTTTTCGGATATGATGTCATTGGGGAAGGAGTATTAGAAAGGTGATAAAAATCCATACAACAAGAACTTTCTCAGAAATATTCATGCAGCCAGAAGGTACCAGAAAAATATAAATAACAACACAAAAAATGTGCACATGCAATAAAGAAAACCGTTTAGACATGGCAGAGACTTCCCTCCCTACCCTATCCTACCCTACCCTACCCTACCCTACCCTACCCTACCCTACCCTACCCTACCCTACCCTACCCCCTTACTTTTCTAACAGGACGTTCCTTCACTTTCCTAACAGGACGTTCGCTAAAAAAATTACAATTCATCTGATGAGATCATATCTGGGAACATTGGCAATGAAAAAGATTAATATCAGGATAGACCTTTTTAATATAAAGAGATGTAACTTTTCCACGAGATGACGGCGCAGAGCGCCGTTTCGGGCGTAAGCCAGGGGCGACGTTACTAATTCCGCCCGGCTATTTACACTCGGGAAAACGAAAGCATTAGCGAAGTCTAAAGTTCATCAATGATCGCGGGCGTGGGTGACCAATGGTGTTGAGAGGGTGGTCATCCTCACTGTGGCGGACTGTCACAGTGAGGCGAACTGTCATGAATAGCGAACACTGATTGGTCATATTTAAAATTTGTTGTTGTATCACAAATGACGACAGCAAAACAAACATTTCTTGCAAGTCAGCAAATATATTGTAGTTTTGCAAGATTTTGCATATTTGAAAACCTTCTTAAGAGCCAAAGAACCGTCTAAAAATGTCTAAAAGAATGGAGCGAAGTCGCCGACGTTAATGAAGGTAAGTTTGTTTTTGATATTGATGTATTGTTTGCTTTATAATTGCTTTAAAAACTGATACGATCTTTGCGTATATAAGTGAAAAATATATAACATAATTTCTGTGTATTTTTATTAATTACCCTTTTTTCGTATATTAAAATATTTTTAAAAAAGAGGAAAGCAAAGTGTTTTACATGCAAGAATTTGAAATCAGTTTATTTCAATTTTCGAACTCAATTTTTACCGATAAAACTTAAAAAGCAGTTTAGTTTTAAGAACATTTTATTTTTAAAACGTTTTGCGAAGCATTTGTGCACGGGAAATAGGACAGGTGTCACTTTGTAAAATAGAAAGTTAGAAATGGTATTATACTTACTCATGTATTATAATTATGTTTAAAAGATCAGAATATTCATAACTTCTTATTTTGTTTCATAAATAGTTCTTTAATATTCGAAACAATTTCCCCATCTACTTCGTCTGCCGTCGCCATGTTTACTCGTCCCAATCTACATGCTACACGGCATTGCCGCCCCTCCTGGCAAAATAATAAGCAAGCGAGAAAAATTAAGGAGAAAATAAGAGGGTGGGAACATCGCTGGCATAAGCTGGATGTAGTGACACTTCCATATATAGCACAAACCTATCCATAACTTCCATATATGACTCAAACCTGTCCTCGACGCGTTTTATAACGTTTTATTTTGACGTAGGGATGACGTGTAAAGGCCTGATTCCACGGGCGCTTTTTCTCGGCGAAATGCGAAATATTTCGCCTGTTTCTTGTGAACAATCAAGTAGAAATAATTTATTCGAGTGGTCGCAATTCAAAAGAAACAGGCGAAATATTTCGCATTTCGCAGAGAAAAAGCGCCCGTGGAATCAGGCCTTAATGCTACTTCCCGCCTATGACAATTTGAATTAGTCATGTGATACAAGATTGCGAATGTTCCTACCCTCTTATTTTCTCCTTATTTTTCTCGCATGCTTACTATTTTGCCAGGAGGGGCGGCAAGGCCGTGTAGCATGTAGATTGGGACGAATAAACATGGCGACGGCAGACGAACTAGATGTGGAATTTGTTTCGAATAGTAAAGAACTATTTATGAAACAAAATAAGAAGTTATGAATATTCTGATCTATTAAAAATAATTATAATACATGAGTAAGTATAATACCATTTCTGACTTTCTATTTAACAACACTACACCTGTCCTATTGCCCGTGGTTGTGGTTGAATTTTACATTAAATTGAAGCTTATATTACATATAATAACATACCTAGCATATATATGTTTGGGGAATTGATTATTTTGTAATTAAAAGTGATATTTTGGGGGGATTTTTCAATTTTAAAACTATTTTTAAAATTAACGTGTTACCATGACAATACTTCATGTTTGGAAAACATAATGGTTTTGTCAGGAAGGCGAGGGTTTCTGTATGCATGCATGTATTTTCTAGTATCCAGAATGAACCAGATGTTACACATCCCAAAATATATTTAGTAGCACTTTACTTTTCAGGTAGGCTATCACAACTTTCTTCCAGTTTTCCCCGAGCATTTTCGTTTTCTCATTGAACAGAATGTGCAGGTTGATTCACCGCACTGAAATACAGATATTAGAGAGATTAAGATACTCCGGTTCCGTTGCGAGTATCGGCATTTTGTTTACCAATTTTTGCTGATGTCAGCATGTTTACCTTTAATTTTTACCCGTTTTCACGCGGTGAACCATTGACTACACGTAAAAGACAAACGTGTATGGGTGTTTACTTTTTACTATATATATATTTGTGGACCGTTTAAAATTCTAAAATATACTTCAACATCTTTCCTAAATAGATCAGTGCACATATCCTCGTCAATTTTCCCCAAATCTGTGGTGAACCTTGACAACGAAAGTTAGCATTCTCCGATCGGTTTTCGTAACGCGGAATATCTTGCAATTCTTAAGTTGCAAGTTATACCCGGTTTACGGAGTAAGCGGGCACGTGTATCACCCGTACCTATAAAATGGAACCGGTGTATCTTAACCTCCCTAAAGGCTCATTTACACTTGCAATTTTTGCTGCGATTTTAGGTGCAATTTTCTTCTTCTGATGGATGTGAACGAGACGATAAGTTATGGATGTTCCGATGAGGGTACATGTACTCCGAACATTCGTAAGAAGGAGAAAATCGCACTATACAAATCGCAGCAAAAATTGCAAGTGTAAACGGACCTTAATGAGAATCTGGTAACGTTTTCCTCGGCACTAAACCTGCATGCACGCAAATAGTGGAGAAATGTAAATATATGTAGTACATTCCCCTTCTAGATATATAGTACCTTATTCAAATTATTCTCATTTCTGTAGCAAAGACAATGGTAGTTACATCAGACAAAAGAGGAAAATCAAGTCAGTTTTGGCCAAGTCTTTTTCTTATCTCTCTGATGACTTTCCTGGCCAGCATTCTCCCTCGACATCAGTGAATGAGTCATTTTCGAATTTGCCATCGGCAACGAAGAATATTTCGAGGATGTTGAGTTTCTCCTGTTATTCAGGTCAGGCTTTCCTAGACTTCCTAGGCCGATGAGGCACCAAAACATGAATGTATTTAATTTGAATTGTGCAAATTCTCTTTGATTCTCTAGAATATAATTTAGGGGCCTTATCAGTTATTACACTACACATAATTAGATATATAATATGTAGTTTCACTTAAATTGATCTGAAAATATACATGCATGCAATGTTGAATTCTCATTGAACAGTTCTAAACACCACATTACAACAAATAATTGATTCAATTCGCATTTAAAATTGCTAATCTGTATATTTATAATTATTAATCTGAAGTAAAGTAAGTTTTCCCATTTGGAAGAGTGATTGAAGAAATATCTAAATTTTATTACAGATTTCCTTTATCGTTGTTGGTATAAAATATACTACACTTAATTTCAAACAAAACATTATGCATTCCGCCATCTGGTGTACGCATATGCATCGTCGGATATATGCGCGACGTCACAACCGGGTAAAATTATTTTATATCTTGAGCAATTCTTCTGTCATTTCAATGTTAAACTGATCTTATTTTTGACTCTAGTCTATTTTAAATTAAAGCACAAGCTATATGTAACCTTTCCCCTGATATTATTTTTAATTAGTTTTAAAACGTGAAATTACATGTGGGTTGTTATTTAATATTTCCTTTGTATTTATTTAATTTTAATAAAATTGTAAAAAAAAATGTAAAAGAAGTAAAACAAGATGGCGGAAGGCAGGATATTTTGGTTCCAACTATACCAATATCTCAAAAATTAAGCCTAGATTGGGAGAATTTGTAAAATGAATTTACACTCAGGTTATTTCAACACTCTTTCAAATTATAGGCAAACATAATTTTTGTTGCCATTTTCCCTCAGTGCTTTGTATACTGACACTAATGCAAATGGCCACTAAGAAACAGTCTTAGTGATTGGTATGCGTTAGGAGATCTTCAAGCTGTTCAGGCTCGCATGCACTAGTCCAATTATACTTATGTACCTTTGGGTAAATTTCAGAATAAATCAGTCTAGTTTCAGACGAATTATTCATACTAAAACGGTGCATGCGAAGGCATAATCTGCACAGTAAGCATGTTTAGTTTAATATTTTGCCGATAATTGTAAACTGCATAATTATGTAAATTAGTAATGCTTACTCGAAACGAAAAATATATAATATAAAAAATTACATTCAAATACTGTAAATAAATATACTGAATACTGAAGGCCTGAAGATATAATAATATTGGTATTCTTTACAAAGTCTGACCTAAATTTAATCAATTTATAATTTGAATAAAGTTAGATATAGAATGTACAGTATTTTTTTATAACTAGAATGATTGTGTGTGACTGCAGGCTATATAGCCCCCCAAGAACGACCAGTCGAGTAAGAGAGTAAATTATAGATATTTTTGATTGCTGACTAAGAGAGAAAGTGAACAAAATTACTTGCTTTGTGCATGGTTAATTGAAAGCGACCCTAAAAAGGGAGAGCTTTTTCCACTTCCGGGAACTTCAACTATGCCAATTTGCTGGCCAATTTGGCACCCACCAACTCATCCAAACTGACTAAAAACAATCATAAAAATTTTTGCAGCATATTTGCCGTCAAAATTCTTCAAGTTGGACACAGACCACAGCAACCTGATACTCGGGGTTTTCACTTCCGCTACACTCCGAAACCCGCTGCCAAACCTGGAAAAAAGTGAGATCTCGGGATCCTGAGGAACGTTTGCCTTCACAACAAGATTGAGGAAAATTTTGATTTTTTCACGCGTACTTTAAGGGAGAATTTTAAGAACTGAATCATATTTAGTTATCGGGCATTTAATGAATCTGTTTTGAGATTGCGAAGTGTTCTTATATCCTGTTAATAGAATTTAAAGATTATTTTGTTTCCTCAGCAATTTTACAACCAATATATTTGAGGTACATTTGAAAAGGCAAATTCATTATTCAGGAACCGAGGCATTGAACACTTTTTCCAGGTCTGCCCGCTGCAGCGAAAACCCTGACACAGGCTGGTCATGTGGCACCCAGATTTTAGGTGCTAAATTATGCGACTCAGGGAGGGTAGGTCATTATCATACGGCAAAACCATGAAATATGATTTGCTTTATTTGTTTAGATTTGATAATATACAGGTAAAATTTCGACTACAATGTCAATGTTATTACATAAAAGGCCGAAAAAGTTGGTGGTTTAATTGCAGCTTTCGTCAGAGCGAAACCCGACAGCACAACAAGACAGCGCTCTTCACGATTGAATCTCATTTTACATTTTGACTGTAAATCGTTTTTGTCCGTCAATATTAGCAGTTTAAAGTACATATAAAACAGATTTCTCATGTGGTTGCCAGACAGCACACTCTGAACGACAATGTTTTAAAATAGCAAGATGTTCGCACCGATGTTCTTAGCTTATAACGTAACCAAACGTGAAACAAATTACTCCAATAAACCCAAACAAATTATCTGCATGAAAACTATATTAGCTACCCATTAGTTGCAGTGGTTCGCAAGTCTTCATAAAGGCCGTTTTCCACTAGGCGGAATTTTCCGCGCGGAGCTGAATTTCTCTTTGTCTTTTCTAACTGAGTTCCACCCGAGAAATCACAGGACAAAGAAAAATTCTGCTCCGCGCGGAAAATTCCGCCTAGTGGAAAAAGGCCTTAAGGCCTGATTCCACGAGCGCTTTTTCTTTGGCGAAATGCGAAATATTTCGCCTGTTTCTTTTGAATTGCGAATACTCGAATAAATTATTTCTACTTGATTGCTCACAATTCAAAAGAAACAGGCGAAATATTTCGCATTTGGCCGAGAAAAAGCTCTCGTGGAATCAGGCCTTTATAAAGCATGTGAGGGAAGCGGGTTGAAAAGTCGAATTTTAATTTTAATTTTTTTAATTTTACAAGCTTTGTCACAACAAGAATACATCATGACAAATAACAATTATTATTATTATTATTATTATTATATCACGAGTGATTATTCGAAAAGCTCTGTTTTGTAATCTTTGGACTTTAGCTGCTAATGTTTTCCCTAAGCAACCCCACACTTGGGCACAATAATCGAAATATGGTTGAATTATGGATTGGTATAATATTATTGTTATTAAGGTATTGAATTTGACTGTATCCCGGAGTCGTCTGAGAATAGCAAGGCCTGAAGTGACCTTTTTTGAAATGTGTTCGACCTGCGGTCCAGTCTAAAGACTCGTCTATCATTAGGCCCAATGATTTTGTCATTTCAACTCTCTTAATTTCTAAGTTACCTACACTGATAGCAGGATCGGCAGTCACTTGACAAAGCCTTTTCTTGGAACCAATTATCATATATTCGGTTTTACTATTGTTCAGAGTTAATTTGTTTGCGGACAGCCAATTTGCAACATTGTTTAAATCTCTATTTAATGTTTCAGTGATAACTTTGATATCGTCACTTGATGTTGCAATTTGGGTATCATCCGCAAACATATCTGGTTTTGTCCCGACGTTTAAACATTTTGGTAAATCATTGATGTAAATTAGAAATAACAATGGGCCTAAACCAGAACCCTGAGGTATGCCTGTTTTCATAATTGATGGACTTGATAGTTTGCCATTCACACAACAGCACTGGGTTCTTATTTGATAGATACGACTCCAGCCAGCGATGTGCCGTTCCCTTTATTCCATAAGTTGCTATTTTGTCTAAGAGTATATTGTGGTCGACAGTATCGAATGCTTTTTTCAGATCCAGAAATACAATCCCATTTAGTTTACCAATGTCAATATTTGTATACCACTCGTTGGTTATGTCCAGTAATGCTGTAACAATTGAGTGAAGTGGTCTAAATCCGTGTTGGGAGTTTGAAAGTAGATTATAGTTATGTAAATAATTATAGATTTGGTTATAAATCAGCTTTTCTGCAATTTTCGCAACTACTGATATAACGGATATTGGTCCGTAGTTTGTTATTTCATCTTTAGCTTCAGACTTAAAGATCGGAGTAATTCTAGAGATTTTCCAATCATTGGGAAATATGCCTGTTAAGATTGACTGGTTGAATATTGATGTTAGGGATGGTGAAATAACTGCTGCCGAAAGTTTTAAGATACGAGAGGAGATACCATCGATTCCCGATGCTTTATTCGGCCCTAAACCACGAAGTAGAGTCAAAACATCATTTTCTGAAATTTCTTAGTGAAAGCTAGGGAGCCCATTAGCTGGATGGTGTACATCACTGAGAAAACTATCCGGTAAAATATTCGATTGAGGAATTTTATTCGCAAGTTGTTCCCCTAGTTCAACAAAGTATTTATTAAAGGCATTAGGGATCAGCGTTTCGTCAATTACTTCACCATTCTCATCTTTCATTTCTGCAGGGATTTTATTATTAGTTGACTTTCTATTCATCAATTCGTTGAGTGTTTTCCATGTTTGTTTTAAATTTCCTGAATTGCTATGTAGTTTGCCTCGATAATAGGAGCACTTTGTATCTTTTATTTGTCTATTGTATTGGTTTTTTGCCTTTCTGTATACAGACCAGGCTGCAGTTGTGTTGGTTGTTCTAGCTTTCCTATGTAGGAAATTAATATGTCGTTTATTGTGAATTAGGTCTGTTGTTAGCCAAGGTAGCCGCTTAGTGCCGACTTTACGTCTTTTTACTGGGGCATGGTTGTTCCAGATTCTGAAGAATTTATTCTTCCAAATCTGCCAAGATATATTTGAATCGTATTGATCCAGGTCAAAAACGGATAAGTAATTTTGTAGGTCGAACAAGAATATTTGTTTGTTGAAATGTTTGTAGTCGCGGTATTCAATTATTTTTACATTTTCTTTGCAGACCTTAAATTTTCTGATGCCATAAATAAGATAGTGATAACTAATTGGAACAGTTGACACTCCCTTTGAAATAATATTATCAGGATTTGTTGTATAAAAGTGATCAATTAATGTCCGAGTATATTTAGTAACTCTTGTAGGTTCACTTATCAATTGTTCATATTGATACAGTCCTGTAACAAATTTGAGTTCCGAAGCTTGGGGAGATAGATTTGTGGATAAGAAGTCATAATTTACATCTCCTAGGATAATACTTTCTTTATTGTCATTGTCTATTAGTTGTAAACAGTTCTCAAATCTATAAAGGGTGTCAATTGGATCGTTTGGTGGTCGATACCACGTTGTAATTAAGAACGGTTTAACGTTATGTTTACTAATTTGTATTGTAAGAATTTCAATATCATGATTATTCAGGTCAGTTCAAGGTCGAAAATTTATTGAATCTCTAATGAAAAAACCGATACCACCCCCAGATCTATTTCTGTTTTCGGAAATCCAATTGTAACGTTGAATGGCTATTGACTCGATTGGCACACTATCGTCCATTCGTGTTTCATCAATTGCAAGAACATCTATTTCTTTATCATCCATGCGGATCCGAAGTTCGTCAATGTGTTTTGGTGGGTATGACTAAAGGGAGAGTTACCAACCGGAGAGTTATCTCGGAGAGTTATGATTTCGGAGAGTTATGTTTAAACCACGCCCACACCACGCCCACTTTTCCCAACGGCCACGCCCAATTTCTTAACTCTCCCGACGTTTCCTTGAACTAACATGAGAGAGTTATGTTTGACGTAACTCTCCCTTGTTAACATTATGAAGATGTTAGAGAGTTATCATTTTTTATAACTCTCCGCGTTCACGATTGTGGCAATGAAGAGAGTTATGTCAGTTTTTTGAGAAAACCTTAGTAAAGCTTGTTTCTTCACGCCGGGTCAGCTCTTCCCAAAAATCGGCCATCTGATATAAACTTTTTCAATATATTTCGGATGGACATGAAACTTGCTACATCAATATAACTTTCCATTCCGAACAATCGTATGTTTTTTATTTTTGAGATTTAACGGTTTTTGGCGGGAAAATGACGTCACGAAACCTCCAGTTAAAATTTACTTTCAATATCTTAATAGTTTTGTCGCAGAATTTGGAAGAACATGTCATGAACAATTCAAAACTGAAAACGGATTTTAAATATCTAAACCTAATCCAAAGTTATTTCACTATAAAAACCGTGAAAAATCTAAAAATAGTAACAAAATGGTGGAAAATTCGATTCTAAACTCCCTGTATCTCGTGATTAGATTAAGATATTTAAAATCTCTTTTCAGTTTTGAACTCTTCATGACATGATCTTCCACATTCTGCTTAAAAACTATTAAGATATTGAAAATAAATTTTAACTGGAGGTTTCGTCACGTCATTTTCCCGCCAAAAACCGTTAAATCTCAAAAAT